GAGCGCACGGCTGCCATTAGGCGCACTGAACAACTGTTTGTGTGCTTTGGGGATGGTGTGGCTGGAAAAGCCCTCTCAAAGAAGCGCCTAACAGGATGGCTATGCAGGTGCATTACACATGCCTATGGACGGGCGGGGAGAGTCCTCCCCACTGGGGTCCGTGCACATTCTACACGGGCTGTAGCTGTGTCAACAGCCTTATTCAGCGGCGTGAGTGTAGAAGATATATGCACGGCGGCGTCTTGGTCTACGCCAGGCCCCTTCATAAAATGTTATCTCCTGGACATGTCTGGCTCCTTCTCGTCGTCGGTGCTGGCCGAGGCAACGCATGACTGGTGAGAGGGGGGTGGCTGTGGGTCAGCAGGTATCTGACCCCCCCCCCTGGACATAAAGCACTTGTGTTTTTCCCATGCTCCTGAGGGACTCGGGAGACATAGTGCGCAATCAGCCCCATACAGGGCTGGAGGGCTCTCCCCGCCTGCCTATGGGCAGGCGGGGAGAGCCTTCCTCACTATTGTCCATGCCCACTCTACACGGAGCGTGTGTGAGTGTGGGGGATGTGGTGCACTTATGTTTTCCCGTGCTCCTGAGGGACCTGGGGAACATGGTGCGCGGTAGGCTCCAGACGGAGTCTCCGCACAGTTTTTTCCATGCACACTCTACACGAGGTAAGCGTGTGTGAGTGTGCCTTATCCAAGTTGCGGCCCCGACTTCTCCACGGTTACAACCGGATGGGAGGAAGTGGGGATGCAGTGGATGTTAGCCAAAAGCCGGTCAGGGACGGTGTGGTGGGTCGATGTTGTTGGACGACAGGGCGTTTATACATCGGGGCTCCGCCCACTGTACCCATAGAGTCCAGTAGAGGGCGGAGCCTGTGTGAGATATAACGGGGGGTTACGTATTGTAACCCTAGTTATATAAACACAGGCGGAGCCCTCTACCTGGAGGCCCTGTCTTTCCTAGTCCGCTCGCTGAAGAGTGTATAGGATAGTGGGGCGGCGGGTGTAGCCGCCTTATATACTGTGGGCCTGCGCGCGCATTCAGGTAGGCTCGCCCCGATTGGCCGGCTACGTTTACGTAAATTCAGTAGGTGAAAGCACGCACAGCATGATAGAGAGTAGTACCCATAGAGTCCAGTAGAGGGCTCCGTCTGTGTTTATATAACTAGGGTTACAATACGTAACCCCCCGTTTTCACTATAAGTAATGGGTTTTTTTTAGGCGGAGGTAAGAATTTACCTTTTTTTACAATGTTCCATCTGAATTTACTCTGACACAGAAAGATATTGATTCTGACACTTCTACATCCAACTCACAGATGTAACCTTGCTTTGAGAAAAATGATTATTAATTTAACCCTTTTAGAAGTGAAGTTATAGTCATTTGTTCTGGGCATGTCATTTTCGAGCCTGAAACCTGAAAAACAGGCTCAGGGCTTAACTGGAAGAGGTTTTTGTACTTTTAGTCTTTCAATATTGTGCTTACATTTCATACATTAATATTGTTAACATAAGGCTACCAGGTAAAGGTCCAGCACATTTTTACTACTATGACAAACCAAAAAGTCTGCAATGTAAAAGGTCTATCCTGTTTTAATGTACTAGTAAATCCTAACATGAGTGTGTGTTGTTGCAATGTGATGTTCCCGTCCTCCAGACAGGAAGGAGAGTCTCCTTACGCCAGGCAGAGGGAGCCAGGAGGCCTGCAGGCTGCAGACGGTATCCAGGCTGCAGGGAAGACCAGGTGACACATTCATTAAATTGTACAGAATGTAATCCGCAAGATCCTTTTATTTTGACCAAGCAATCCTCTGCAGAGTATCTGATGTATATGTTCCTCTTTTGAGAGTATAAAAGTATGTTGTTCAGTGAGATCTTTACTGGATCCTGACTCTCTCTTGTGTGTTGCTGTCAATCTCCAGGTGCCAACTTTAACCCAAAAGCACCGGCGCCCTTCTGTTGCTGCAGACCTTCCCAAGAAAAGGAAGCAAACCTCCAGGGCCACTCCTTCCAAACATGCTAACCTGCCACCTGTTGCTATGGCCCCCAGACCTCCACTGCTCCATGACGCACCTGTCAACATACACAACCGCTCAGTAGAAGAGTTCCAGCGCATCTACCATGGAGTTGGGGCAACACATAGATATTAAACACATTTTCCAAATCACTTAGAAATCCATCTCTTAGGTTTTCATTCATCCAAAAAAATTATTTAGCTTTTTCTTCAACTCCTCACAGGTTCTCAAGCCTCAGCCTCTGTCAGTAAACCTATATCCTGTTGCCACGTGGAGACCTCAGTGTAAGGCAAGGATCAAAGACACACATGTAAATATCATGCTTCAGTTTACATGCAGAAACATAACAGTGTAATAATAACATGACTAGACTGAATAAAACATGTTTCTGCTGCTTCATTGTTTTCATCTTCTTCTTCTCTCAGGTATGTAGCCTACATATGTGCAAACACACATCAACTGAAACCTGACTGACTGTGATGCTAAACTTCATCGACCAGAAGGAGCTCCTCTTCCTCATTCGCCTTTGAACGCAAGGTAGTGTTAATACGGCTGATGTATAGAAGTATGAGATATTTGTTAGCGCTATCTAAATTAATCTTATAAAGCCTATCGAAGTAGTTCAATAAACAGTTATATATATGTAAGTGAACATCATATGAGGTTGAATTGTCCGACCGGCCCACTTCGGTACCGGCCCACCGGGAAAACTCCCGGTATTCCCAATGGCCTGTCCGCTCCTGCTTCCACATCTACCAGGACCTGATCCATGATCGTGAGAAAGATTCCTTCTACAGCAGGTGTGATCCAGAGATTTTCTGTTTTTTAGTTTGCCAGCAGACCTCTTTTCTTACCAGTTACTTTCTGAAAAGGGTTTTAGGAATTTTTATATTGCTTCAATATGCTCACGTGTCTTTCACTTTTTAATAATTAATATGTTCACAGTTAGAAATTGTATTTAGTCATTAATAATGGGAACCTGAGTTTCTCAATTCCCAATATGTGAAAAAAGTGAACAATCAAGTGATTATATAGTTGTTAATAAGTTATAAATAAACAGTTGTTCATCCAATGATAATAATTTTTGAATTATTAAAGGTTCAATATTTTTGGATATATATTCTGTTTTATAAGTTAATAACAAATTGAGTTTAATACTCAAAGTTCGGGACAGACAACGATAGAAAAGTGTACCAGAAAATACCTCGAAGTAACACAAAGTATGCCGCAAAGCATATCATATACATTACATTTATATGGTATATTCATATACATTTCTGTTTTGTTAAATGTTTTGTTTTGTTTTTGTATTCAGAATTGTTTAACTGTACATAATACAGGTAAGAGCAGGTTTCATTATACGTGCACTGCAACAGGAGATGCACTGGTCATGTTTATAGCTTTAAATGACCAGAAAAGGGGGAAAGCTCATTCAGGAACAATTCATTCCTGATCACTTCAGTTTGGTGACTTTATTTTAAATTTCACCGAAATGTAGTGTTTTGTCATATTAGTTTTACGTTAGCAAACACTGGTGCACTTCAAGAGTTCCTGTACTGTTTTTTTTTTACATGCATCTGCTGTAAATAGTTTGTGTTAAATATACAAATTGATATGTCTGGATGTCGTTTCTAAATGCTTCCATTTTGTACTGTTATTTTGAAAGCATTGATGTTTATTTACAGTTTATTAAAGTAGAAGCAGTTCTTCAGTGTGGCCTGTAGATGGCAGTAAACACTCACAGACGGGAGTATTTAAAATTGTGAGTGTTTACTGCCCTCCAGTGGCCATACTGAGGAACTGCAACACTTAGGTAAGTATAAGCAAGTGTTATCAATACTAACAGTCCTGCGTTGACGTTGATTTGATAATTACTGCAGTTTTTCACTGTTGGCAATACAACTCTTTGATTCTGAGTTGACATGGTCGACTAGTGTGTTTCATGAATGTATTAAAGGTCATGCTTGTCCGGTTACCCGTCCCCTATGAAAGTTTGTATGCATGTTAAACGGTCTGCAAAGTCACAAACCTTCAAAGTACACCCTGTAGCGAGTAAAACTCTAACGGACCGTCTCCACAGCAGCGTTAAAAAAATCTTGGAGGTGGGCGTATCTGAGGCTTGGGGATTTTTTTGCGATCAACCAATCACATGAATCTCCCGCCCGCGACATACGAAGCCAAAAAGCCCGAAGTAAACTGGATATAAACTCCCCAAAACAGGCGAAAACATACCACTGTCTCTGCCACCTCCCTCCATGCCTGGCTCCTCCGGTTTATATCCCGGTAGGTCTGGTCATAAAGCACCGGGTGATTGATTCGCTACCGCTAATTTCTCCTCCATTTTTTGGAATATGAGGAAATGACCTGCGGTATGTCTCTCCCAGCATACACGCCGTTTGATTGGCTAGAGCTTGAACTGCCAGATTTGCGTACACAGGATTTGATTGGCTGCCGCTTCCACCTCAGCTTCAAAAGTTGAACATTGTTCAACTTTGAATCTTGAAAATCCTGAGAATCTCCGCTCGCCTGCCCACAATGCATTTCGGCGAAAAGTGAGGGAAAGTGACGTCACCCCATTCAAAGTGAATGGGCAGAAGCGTTTCAAGATTTTTTAACGCTGCTGTGGAGACGGCCCGTAACACAGAAAAGACCTGTCTATGCTGCCCCAGAACGCTTCGTTGGAGTTTTCTCTTTTTCTTCCTGGGTACAGTGACGTGTCCAGGAGCTCCAACAAGCCGTTTAGGACAGAGAGTGAATACTATACGATGCTGTATGAGAAACCAATGTGATTTTGGAAAATTGCACAATATAAATCTATTTTAGTATACCTCAACAATGGAATTATGATCAGTAGAAATGGCCATGACATGGGCCCTTTAAATGAACGCGTGTTTAGTCAAAACAACGTCGATGCCACCATGATAATAATATATAACTTCCGGTGAATACTTTCACAATAAAACTAAAAGTACAGACACGTTTTGAGGCACATCATGTTCCATGTGATGTTTTCGTGTTGAAGCAAAGCGATACATCCTGTCACGATACTTTGGCTTTTTCAACAGTATAGAGAGAAGTCTGTGAAACATCCCTTCTCTACATTAAGTGGACTTGAAAAGGTCCGTCGTCACGTCCAACACATTACGTTAAGACAGAGGCAGAAGTCAACGTTATTCGGTGGCAAGAGGGATCATTTTTGACAACTACGTAACGTTAGCTACAAGCTAATCAAGCTGTTCTTCTGAGTTGTTCACTTACCGGGGTAAGTTGACTATGGACACCGTTAGCCCATGAATGAGCTTGTACTAACAATAACTTAACGAGTTATTTTATCGGACATCACAGTTATTTATTTATGTTTCTCTTGTTACAATCATATTATGGCGTCAGCTGTTGTTTGTGTGTCGGCAACTTAGCCTTACTTTAGAGACCTCTTTTACAACAGATGACGCATCTAAGGGGATCAGGTAACGTTGATTATAATGAGTATTCATTACATGTTTCAAATTATAAAATGACGTCTGGTTGTCAATTGGCTGCTCTTAGCTCTGTGGTCAAAGATAAGCAGTCATTTGAATGGAAATACCCTTAAGTATAAGCACATATTTTGAATTATAGGTAGGCTATTAAGTATGTAAGTCGCTTTGGATAAAAGCGTCTAACAAATGACATGTAATGTAATGTAATGCTATGGTAAACATCTGCTCTTATGCTGTACATGTTTTTACGTGAGTTCTGTCAGCCCATGTTTGGATGGATGCAGCAAGTTATACATCCAGCTAATTGTAGGCTACTTGTTTTCAGAGGGAATGGAGAAAGCTAAACAAGTTGCATTTGACAGTGCCAGACTCCAAGTGATCAAAGATGGCTATGAGAGGGCCTTTGAGTGCATAAATAAAGGACTGTCTGTAGATGAATCCGGGGACAAGTCACATGCCCTGGAGCTCTACAAGCAGGGGAGGAAGCACCTCCTCAGGGCCATCAGTGTGCCATCCCAGGGAGACGAGTGTTACGGCAGCTCCTGGGAATCAGCCAGGCAGATGCAGCAGAAGATGCAGGAGACGCTGGACAACATCACCACTCGACTGGCCATTCTGGAGACCAGCTCTGACCTTGGATCTGCACCTACACTGAACACGAGCAGTGGATCTGACCCTGATGTTGCAGACACGTCTAAAGAAGGTCTCTATCCAAAACTTTCTTCCAAAAACAAACCAGATCCACCAAACCAACTTTCTGCTAGCAGCCAGGCAGCAGGGGCTGTAGGAGGCGTGTCTGCCTGCAGCAGTAAGGGTCTCCCCCTCTCACCCACCAGACAGCCTGTGGGTCCAGTGGAGAAGCCTCCAGCTTACTCTCCTGAGGCGGCTAAAGGCCACCTGTCTGTCTCATACGGCACAGATGAGGGGGAGTTGTCTTTGGTTGGGGAAGAGTTCTACAGTCGTACGTCTAACTCAACACCATCTCCCCAAAGTATGGGTGAAGAGGGAGAGGAGCTGATGTACATCCCTCATGGTGTACAGATATTCTTTGTCACGCCTGAAGGTGAGGTGAGCGCTCCCTCTTACCCGGGCTACCTGCGGCTGGTGAAGTTTACCGGTGACCAATCCGACAGAATGCCCAACCGCCCACCAGCTTTTCTGCAGGTAAGATAAAATCAGTTCACCCCCCATAAACACACTCACACTAAAACAAATGTTGTTACTTAGCCTGAAATAACTTGATAAGCCAGCCCTCATGACCATCTAATGCAATAAGCAGGATTGAAACGTCATCACTGCCATGTCACCAGTCTGTCTCGTGACCTTTAACCTGATTTGATAAAACGTTTGCTCTGCTCATCAAGCTCTCTCTGACTGCGAGTCATCAGCAGGAGGAGACTGGTTAATGATCCCTAACCTACTACGATCGACTTTATCATGTGATTGTTGTTTACTTGGTGCCCTAAGCTCAATTGGTTTATGGATACAGTTTCATGCTCCTGGGAAATCTTGCATCAGGATCACAATTGGTACTTCACTCATGACCTACTGGAAATCAACTTCCTCCACATAAAAAAAAAAACCCATCATGTATAGACTTGGCCACAATAACCTCCACATCAAAACAACTTTGATGATCTTGTGACTATTTCATTAAAAAATATATAAATGATTATATATTTGGCTAAAAGTAAAAAATAAATAAAACGTACCTTATGTAATAGTCCATACTACACCTTATGCACAGCTCAGGGAATCCCACACAATTGCCACCGAAGCAGATATTTATTTTTTTTAAAGCATGGTTCCTGAAATGCATTGATACCAGAAAATAGTTATACATTACAGTCTGATGTTATCAAAAACAGCAGCACTATAATACATCTTACATTTAAGAAATGTATCATGTACTGTTTGTGTCAAAACAATGAGCTATGCTATGCTATGCTATGCTATGCTATGCTATGCTATGCTATGCTATGCTATGCTATGCTATGTTGTTCCCAGTAGTGATGGGAATTATGGCTCTTTGAAGGGAGCCGGATCTTATGGCTCCGTTCCTTTGCGAGAGCCGTTCAAAAGAGCCATTTTTTTATAAGGGGGTGGGGCTAATAGGTTTATCTGCGAAAGATACCTTTTATAATTCAATCAAATGTAGCCCTGTTTTGACTAATGATTTATATGTGTATCAATATATCACTTAAATTATTCAATACATCCTTTGTACTGAAGTATTCAAAAGTAAAAATTACATTTTTAATATAAATGATTTGCTGTGGCCAATTGTTTTCATTGCATTTACAGACCCTTGTAACTCTCTGATTGTAGAACCACGCAAAAAAAAAAAAAGAAGCAGATAGCAACACCTATATAGACTGACAACAAATCTTTGCTGTGCCTAAAAATAATCTTAAATAAATAACATAATGAAAATAAATATATTGCAATGCTCAAAACAGCAGCATCCAACAGTCTCTAATCCTTGGATATTACATGTCACTGCATGCATTCACTGAGCACCCGTAGCGCGGAGATCATCTTTGAGCCGGCTCGTTCGCGACCGACACATCACTAGTTTCCTGTCTACAGACAAACACCATTTTGGTTTGTTAATCAGGAGCTCATAAGCAAAATATAAGATAAGAAAGTATGTGAGGCCATGCAAACGTATCAGCTTGGGTTAAAAGTCAATAATAATGCTTTTACAGTACTTCATCCACCTTATCCGGTCTTGAGCAAATTTGTGTGATTTCTTTACATTTGATTGTCAACGTTTACCCTGCTGTTTAAAACCACCAATACACTAGTAGTGGATCATGAGACTGAAATTTGGCTCTTCATTGGGGAATTTCCCGGTTGGTATTTCCCTCAGTGACATCAGTGCAAGTAAATCAACTAAACCCTGCTTACACTGTTATGCCCTATAATCCTATTAGACATGCAGAGGGAGAGTGTGTCCTCTGGTGTCTCCTCTCCTACTGTTCACTGTTTTGCACTATTTAGGATCAACATTAGGCATGTGAGGCATGTCATTTTCAAGGTTTTGCAAACCTATACTTAAACAGGCCGTATTATGATTTTTGGGTACTTCCCTTTCCTGAGGGTATTATATGTGATTGTGTGCATTTAAAAGGTCTTCAAAAAACCTTGATACTTAGTTACATTGCTATGTATCAATCGCTCTTCTATTGGCTACCACTCCAACACATTGTATATGATTTGCTAGGGGATGTGATAACTGTAGGCGGTTGATTAATCACAACAGAGCCGGCCAACCAATCAGAGCAGTCTGGGCTCTCGAGGTCCTGCAGCACAGGCAGTATGAGGAAAATAATGCACTTTTTGAACATTAAAGCATGTAAACATGTCACAGTAAAGGCACAAAATACAAATATAAACCTGAAATGAGAATAATATGTCCTCATAAGCAGGATATTTTTGCAAAGGTTTATCCCTCTATTACATTTGTCTTGAATGTAAATTCAATTATCTTAGTTTTTTTAATATATATTGGGGCATGTGTCTCAAAAATAAATTGAAGTGTTGGTCTGATTCACATCTACTTGACTTCATTACATGTAGTTATTTATCCTCAAATCACCCATTTATATCCTTGTACCTTTTGATTCGCTTCCTGGCAGGTGTGCGACTGGCTGTATCCTCTCATGGCCGTGGACTCCCCCGTGTTGCTGTGTAACACTGGTGTGTTTATGTTTCCGGACATGATGGCGCCGGCTCCAGGTTATTATGTCGGGGTGGTGCTGTCCGCTGAGCTGTCTGCTGCTCACAGAGAGCTGTTCCAGGACCTGCTGTCCCAGATGACAGATCTCAGGGTACAGGTCAGTGTGACTCTGCAGTCAGTTTTGCAACAGCACACACATTTGATATTCTTTGGGGAACAAATGCGGCCAATACATCTGAATATATAACATAACAGGGCACCAGTTGCCATGTTTTTTCATGCTGACCAAATGCTAGAAAATGATCCTCTAAAATTAGTTTGTACTGTTAACACATTAAAATATGTGCACATAAGTATTTCAAGTCCCCACAGAATTACACAAATCCATTTGGCAAATCCTCTTGTGCCAGTGAGGGGTACAGAGAGCTATTTTAGGAAAATTAGCCTCAAGTTCGAGTGCTCAACCACTATTGGTAGTTACAGGCATGTGACAGTGGGTGTATCTTCCTATTCTTTGAAAGCTGCAATCTCACATATCAGTCATATTGTTTAATAATAACATTACCAAGTAAGTACCAGAATGCCTGAGCTGCAAATGTAAATGTTGACCTTACAAATGAGTGTTTACCATACATAAGGGTCTACAGTATGTGGGTCATAGATTTGTCCTTACACATACAGACACTTTTTGCTTATAAACTCTGCATTGAAGTGCAGTTGTAAGTCCTGGATGATATATAGTGTGCCATAATGAAGCAAGTTAGCCTGTCACTTAATAGCCTTCACTCTCCTCCTGCCGTCACTGACACATTCTGCAAATACTGCAGATATTTAATCGTTCCCTTCCATGAAAAACATTGAAGTTAATGCATTGCTTACATCATGCTTTGAGGCTTCATTGTTTTTTGCCTCGCATGAAACTCTTGCTCCTGCTTACTTCTGAGCTGGCACACATCTCCAAGTTAGCCCTGCCTCAGCATTGCAGAGATTTGAGAAAGGCAGGTGAGGAGAATTAATCAATTATAATGCTCTTATCAGCAGCAGTTGGAACAGCTTCAGAGTTTCAGCTGAAAGACAAGTGCCAGTTCAGCCATGATGGAGGTAGAGACGCTGGCTCAGATCGATGCCAAACAAGGTCATTTCTGTTGTATGCAATCAGGCTAGTCATCTTTTCTGATGGACCTGATTCCCTGTCGGCCGAGAGTAGGCACTTTTGTGTTGTTTTCAGTTTTTAGGTCAAGTAGAATTTCTTAAATTTGAGCACAAAGGGAGACTGTTTCCTGACTGAATAGAGACCTTTTAAAAGGATTTTTTTCTCTGTGGCAAACAAAAGCCACATTGTAACGAGAAGCACATACTAATAAGAGGAGCTATTGTGTTAATTTGGGGTAACTTGGAGACAAGCTTCTGGACGAAAATGTGTACAGCTTGCACAAAGTAGCACTTTTAAGTGGCATTTAGGTCTTCATTTCAGCCCATATAGTCTTGTCTTCACCTTGCAGTAGCTAACCAATGTGCCTATATGAACAGGCTCCAAAAGAAGCTGCAGAGACCATTAATCTCAGTCAGAAGGTGTCCATCGCTACGCCTCAGGAGACTGCAACAGGGGTCACAGAGGAGGATGAGAACGACGAGGAGAAGGCCCTGCCTGAGTGGAGTGAAAAGGTGGCAAGCGGGATCCTGACAGGTGAGGTCGAACTGCGTCTTCACCTTTGCAAAATCTTAAAGGGGACCTTTCATGCAAAATGCACTTTTTGATGTCTTCTATACATAAATACGTGTCCCCGGTGTGTCAGGGAACTCGCAAAGTGTCAGAAAACAAAACCCTCTCTCTTTTCATCCGTACCAAAATCTCTAAAAACGGGGGTACAAGAGAGCTGATCCAGATTTGCGTCCGATGTGACATAATATCGGAACTGTGGACCCACGGCCCTATCAGAAACGTTGCTATCAGAAACAATGCCTGACATGTTTTGTACGTAATATGGTCTTTGTTTACATTAGCAAGCATCGCTAACACTCAGAGCTAACCTGTACTGGAGAGAGTATGTGTAAAAAAGCAGGATATAAAAGGTACTCACCTTGTGGTAAACCCGCAAGAGAAAAAGCATTTGTGCTCCATACTGTTTCAGAAATAATCCTTGATGTGGTTTGGAACATGATATGTCATTTAATCACGGCAGCATGTAGCTTTATCTCCGGAGAATTTTTTTCAAGTTAAGGACCCCAAACCTGCAGTTCTCTAACAGGCCTGAAATGGAGGGATATGAGGGATGTCTATGATGTGATTTGCTCAAAATACCAAACAGATCATGCATTTTAGACCCATAATATATGCCTAAAAATAACATAATAGGAGACCTTTAATGCTTCTGTTTGTTCACTATTAGTTAGGACTCTTTGACTCGCCCTGTGTGATCCTGATCTCTCAGGTGCGTCCTGGCTAAGCTGGGGTCTGGTGAAAGGAGCTGAGTTCACAGGTCATGCCATCCACAAAGGGGCATCTAAACTCCGGGAACACATCACCCCGGAGGACAGACCCACCAACGTCAGCCCCACAGTCTCCAAAGGCCTCCATGTGGCCAAGCAAGCGACAGGGGGTGCTGTCAAAGTCAGCCAGTTTCTAGGTGACTAGTCATACCCTATCAGCATATTAAACTGACCGTCTGTGGACATCTCATTGAGTAATGCTTTGTTGCTGCAGTGGACGGGGTGTGCACCGTCGCTGGCTGTGTGGGGCGGGAGTTGGCTCCACACGTGAAAAAACATGGAGGCAAGCTGATCCCAGAGTCGATGAAGAAAGACAAGGACGGGCGTTCTAACATAGATGGAGCCATGGTGGTGGCTGCCAGTGGAGTGCAAGGTACAGTGCATTTACATGAGACATCCATAATAGGACATTTTTAGAGATGTGTCATAAAATGTGCCCAACATGCATTGTGCTCTGTGGTTTTACTCAGGGTTTGCGACAATGTGGACTGGTTTGGAAGTAGCAGCAATAAACATCACTACAAGTGTAGCATCAGAGACCGTCACCACCGTGAAACACAAGTAAGCTTTCCCTTCCATTTGAAATGAAATGTCTCAACACTGTCACATGCTTTAATATCAAACAATGCCAACAAATTGCACAACACTGCTTTCTAAACCGGTTTTTGATGTGTTTGTTGCAATTGACCTCTTGCATCATACATGCAAAACCAAACGTGCACTCACTGTTTTATTTTTAAATTTACTTTGCAGATTTAGGGGTCTACAAAACCATCTTTGACCCACCTAAAGAGAATAAGTGACATGTTTCCTAACTATAGGAAGCTATTCAACTTGTTTCACCACTAATCACTAAGACAACTTTTTTTAATGAATTGGCTGTTGCTCAAAGCTTTATAAAATCCTTGATGCTATTCTAATTCACTGCCTGTGTGGCAATTCACATGATGGTGCTGCTTTTCACTGATTCCTCAATATGTTTCTAATGGTAAATTCCCAATTTGCAACTTTTCTGTCCTGCCTTAAATTCACATCTTACCGTAATGTAGGGTTGTGTTTTAGCTATACAATGTCTCATTTTAAGTGAAAGACTTAATTTGCAAGGTATCTAATTAACTGCACCCAAAACAAACATTCCCATCTTGCTATTTTATCATGTAATGGTTTCTTAATTCATTTAAACACATATCGATATTGTGGGAAGAATACATAAAAAAGGGAGATTTTGGACTTGCATGAGTGTAATGCTCGCATAACAAATCACATACAGCATGGCATCTTTGCAATCCTTCCACTGCTTACTAATTCTTCTCAAATCCTCTGTTTCTCGCCTCTGGCTGTGACCTCTCACCCTATCTCACTTCTGATGAAGGTACGGGGCAGCAGCAGGAGAAGCCACAGACAACGCTGTCAATTCTGCCATTAATGTTGGTCGCACTGCCTTCAATGTTGACAATCTTGGGATCAAAGCTATAGTGAAAAAGACGGGCAAGCAGACGGCGCATGCCATTTTGGAAGACTACAAGCGTCCGGAAAAACCAAATGATGGGAAGCAAGTTGAGAAATCGGGCAAATAGCTGGTATTACTCTGCCTTATTATCTCAGAAATGCCTTAAAGTATAATTCTTATCAAATAAATCTATATTTAATTTTCACTATTTATAAAACGTATTCTATATTTAAAAGATAACTACTGTTCTTTGCAGATCCTTGAGTTTAATTCTCTTAAGCACTTTAATCTTTATGTAAAATAAGGTAAATGGACCTAAATGAAGAGAACCAGCAGATTATATAACCAAAATTAAGACATGGTGATATGGTATGTTGATACACTGTAACATTTAGGTATTATCAATTCACTTGAAGGATATCATTTTAACTCTGCTCTTTATACTAAAACAGCATAGAATGGTTAACTACACACTGGAACATTTCCTAATCTTCGTAAAGCATCTGTGTATTTGAGTTTTTCCCTTGGGGACTGCAATTTATATAATTTGAATGAAGGATGAAAATCAATATCCGTATGTATCTTCAGATATAACTGTATCGGACAAGAAAGTGTGTGTTTTCACTGTGTTGTTTAAAATGAGTAATCACTGCCTCTTACTGTGCCTGCAAACATCTAACTGTATTTAAAACTGAAGCTGTCTATACAGCAACATGTATTTTTGTTCCACCTTCATTAAAATGATGTTTCTTATGAACTAGGGGTGACTAAAATGTTAATGCCTACTGCTAGTCTGACTAGTCTAGGACTATCTAACCTAAATGGGTGTTCTGCTACAACATGAGGTGTGGTCTTCTGTATATTGTTTGATATAAAATAAATCTATATTTTATTTGAATGGATGAACTATTTAGCTGTGAACTTAAGTGTGATGCTAACTTTGCAAACCAATTAGTCTTTTTTTTTTAATGATCTGGTTTGTGCTCATTTAATCCAGCTTTAAAGTCAAAGTGGTTTCAGATGGCTTTCAGGTACTCGAGTTGAAATTGTCTGAAAAAAAATAAAAAAGTTGAAAAAACGCATGAATATTTTGTACATTTATTTAGAAGATTAGGGAATTCACAGCTAGCTTATGTTTTGCTCTATAAGCAGGATATATATTTGAGCAGTTCTGTTTAAATACAGAACATTATTTCTGGAATATTTTAGCCTAATACCTCCATCTAGTGTTTTGCAACATGTATGTTTACAGGATCATACTAATTGTTTATTCTTTAAAGGTCCCATGTCATGCTTTTCCGGTTATTACCCGTCCCCTTGTGTGTTATGTAGCTTTTTCTGCATGTAAACGGTCTGCAAAGTCACAAACCCTCAAAGTACACCCTGTAGCGAGTACAACTCTAACACAGAGAAGACCTGTCTAGATGCTGCCCCAGAACGCCTCGTCGGAGATTTTTCTTTTTCCATTTTTTTCTTCCCGAGTATGTTGACAACCATGCCCAGGTCCAAATGGACCAATCCGTGGAGCTCCTCACACACACACTCACTCAGCCTTATCTTTTCTCAGCCGCTGCTCCGCGGATTTCTCAGCCTGAACTCAGCCTGATCAACAGCGAGACACCGCGAAACTCAGGCTGAGTTCAGGTGAGTTTCGCGGTGTCTCGCTGTCTCGCAGACCCCACGCAGCAACCAGGAAAAGACACCAGTAATCCAGCTCACACTGTCCGCTCAAAGGACGCAGCAGCGAGTCCCGCAACGTCCCGCCAACACGGCACCCAGACCCCACTTGAAATTAAGTTGAGATGGTAAATATTCCTGATTGCGTGACATTTTATTTATATTTCTTAAAATGTTCCGCAGAAAAATACAATATGTACTATAGATGAAAGTTATCCGTTACAACAAAACAGAGAAAATTAAAAGTACTTTTAACACAATCAAAAATGTACTGTGTTTATTGCGGTCCATGTATGCTGTGCACAAAAATCTTGCACTTTTGATTCAAGGAGCTAAATAATTTGTTGGCTTTAACAAAGTCCATTGGACATTGTTCTTTTAGGGGTATGGCTAAGTTTGTTACTGTAGTCTTTTCAGGTGGGCCATAGACTTGGCCAAAATTCACTGCAACAGGGTCCACCGGGCCAGGAGTGGCATTCTATAGCATCAGTGGTAAAAGGGCGCTGCAGATCACTGTTGATAGGAAAGCACTTGAAGTTCGGTTCATAAATGCAGAGGTCGAGTTGAACCAGTTATTTATCACAGACTGAAATGAGGCAGAGAGAAATTGATCCTGGCACATTGGCAGCATTTGTCCCCGGGGAACAGCCGATTTGTCCAACAGTATTGGGGTGGGATTGCATGCCGTCAGCTGGAGGAAGCTTTTGATCCATTGTCAGAGGCTGAATGCATATTCTTGAGACATTATCTGAAATGAAATACGATGTTAACAAACTCTCACTGTAAAAAAAAAAAGAAGAAGAATACAGTTAGTGGTTCAGGCACCCATGTTCCTTGCAGTGAGCTTTAATGTGGTTTTTGGGTCTAACTGACCACTGACAAAGGCCAACAGGTCACACGAGGCAACAAGAGGATCTAATATAGGCAACCTTCGTGACTCCACCATGCACTGCGGTGTTAAGGAGTCGTGGTGGAGTCACGCATTCTGGTGAGACCAGGTTGAATATAGGATAGAGAAGCCTGGTGATCTCTTTCTTTTAGCTGGGCTCATCTTTAATATCATCTTTGGACATGTGACATACAATACATTTGTTGTTGCTTTACATTTGACTTAAACAAGTAAAGGAGAAAAATATGTAGTGAACTGGTCTTAGTCAAGTACATTTTCATAATATCATACACAACAGATAGGGGGCTTTACATCTTTACAGCCCTAGACTCCTACTGCTATGGTCCTGAATTGTCATTTTGTCTGATTGAAAACATATTTACAAAGAGGCTAGGCTACTAGTTGTAAATGTAAAGTCAAACAAAAAGTTTGTCAATAGTTTTAAGATTGTTATGCAATCTGATAAACTGGGACTTCTTGAAAACAACCTTCCGATTTTTGAGGATAAGTAATTTGCCTTTAGCAAGCCAGCTGGACAAAAGCCATGTACTAAAGTAATTGTTTGCAGCAGGTTGAACAAATTCAAAAATGCTGCCATAAAAGTAGACCCATTGTCACAGACTAAAGTCATGCAAGATGTGGCCTTATAAAAGTATGACGGCTGTTGCTCGTTTCTTTTGATACAAAAACACATGCAATAAACCATTAGTTTGACTTCTGCTCATTCTTAAGTGATGTTTATAAGAGCCCGTGTGAAATGTGTCCTTTAACCGCATCACACTTATCCATGCGCTCGTTGTGACTGACCCAATTAATTATTACCATCATCTACACCTGTGTGGGTTGGTCACTCAAAACAGTGCAGTATTACATCTGTAACCCCCAGCATGTAAACGCTACCCTGCTCGGTCACTTTTTCTGCGGATTTTGAACCCGTTTTGTTTTAGCACTGGAATCAACCGTGTGACAAAAATCTGCTTTGAGTATTTGATACTACGTAACAGCTTATGCTACAGCTAAGGAAATATGTTGGCTTAGCTAAACACTGAAGTCAACGTATTCAGTATTATGTAGCGTTAGCTCTACATGCATGTAAAGCTAACGCTACATAATACTGAAAATGGTAAGTTAACATAATAATACAAGGTGAAACGTTAGTCACTTTAACCCATAGCAAGTTTGCTAGTTAGCACTATGGTAAAGTGGGTTAGCCTTCTGCATGATGTTGAAACATATGCTAAACACCTGCCAGCTAATCAGAAAGGACTCGAAACGCAGTTTAAAGCTACTTATATGTTTTTTTAGTACATGCAGGCTAATTAGTGATCGTTAATAAGTGGATTTGTTTTATTAATACGAAGGAATGAGGTTAAGCATGCAGGTCAACATGAACGCGCATCGTAAAATTAATCACACATGGACGTTTCTGTGCGGGTGCGCGCTGATAGAAACGGGAACGCGCAATGCTGATGACACGCGAACGGGCCGATGTAAATCACTGCAATGAGGGGAGGGTGGAGGACACCGGCTGCAGCCCTGCCTCCAAGACACACGGCAGGCAGGCAGGCAGAGCACCATCACAGGGGCAACAAAGGGACGCGTGGTTCCTCTCAGGCATCAAATGAATAAATGATCCATTGAGACAAATTCTGCCTACAGCAAAACGATTTTTTCCCTTCTGTCCTAACCTCAAAGGTAAGAGATTGCACCAATTCAAGAAATGATATGTTGTATTCATATATCTGTTATTGTTTTAACAATATATTAAGCCAAACACCCTAGCCAGGCTTTTACTGTTAATGTTGCACTATCCGCTGTAATAGCATGTTTTTTAATTGCTGTTGAGATTGATTTAAGGCACACCATGGAGCATGAAATGGGTGTGACATGTTACTTCATAATGTGTGTGCGATGAGCAGCAGCAAAGCTTGTATGTTATGTATAAGGAGTGTTTGACATGGATACTAATTTCTCCCTGTATTTCATGAGGTCAAGTTAAAGTACTTCTTCAAATAGTAAGCATTTTCCCTGTTTTTATTTATGGTGTAATAGCACCATAGTCATGGAGCTGGAGCACTTCGATGAGCGGGACAAGGCTCAGAGAAATACCCGCAGGGGCTCAAGAGGGAATGGGCTCGCCAGTCCCACTCATAGCGCTCACTGCAGCCTGTACAGAACCAGGACACTGCAAGCCCTGACCTCAGAAAAGAAGGCCAAGAAGATCCGTTTCTACCGCAATGGGGACCGCTACTTCAAAGGGATTGTGTATGCCATTTCTCAGGACAGATTTAGGTCTATAGAAGCACTGCTGGCTGACCTCACAAGAGCTCTGTCAGATAATGTGAACTTGCCACAAGGGGTTCGAACCATATATACTATTGATGGGATGGGAAAGATTACCAGCATGGACCAGCTGGCGGAGGGTGAGTGTTTCTTAAATGTATGTTTCTTTTACCAAAATGTGGAACTTCCTCTTTTATAAGTCAGTTAGACTATCATATAATCTTTGCTTTATCTTTCATGTGCTTTGCTTTCATGTTCCATTACTTTTGTCTGGGAGAAATAGAAAACCATCTACTCTGTGTTGATTTCCTTTAGGGGAGAGCTATGTTTGTGCATCCATAGAGTCCTACAAGATGCTGGACTACACAAAGAATGTAAATCCCAACTGGTCACATGGTGCCAGGACGGCTGTGTCCCTCCGTGATCCTCCTTCTCTTGGTAGTGTGAAGGCTGGAGCCCCAGAAACCAGGGAGAGCAAGGACTTCATTAAGCCCAAACTGGTAACCATCGTCCGCAGCGGAGTAAAGCCTCGCAAGGCTGTACGCATCCTGCTCAACAAGAAGACAGCACACTCCTTTGAGCAAGTGATGACTGACATCACAGACGCCATCCAGCTGGACTCTGGATCCGTCAAAAGGATTTATACTGTTGACGGCAAAATGGTAAGTGTTAAGTTATCATTTGTAGTGCATTCTGTGAACCTCACTTGCTCTTTTTAGACTACTATTCTAATAGAGTATTTGTTTGGGGTTTTTGTTATAACTTGGTACCAACAACCACTTTTATATTGAATACAGGTTTAAAACTATCAAATAAACTCCCCTTACTCAGAGGGAAAAGATGGTGAAGCTTAACAATAGTTTATCTTAATTTTTGAAAAAGATACTTAAAGGGGACCTATCATGCAAAATGCACTTTTGTACGTCTTTTATACATGAATATGTGTCCCCGGTGTTCCAGGGAACTCACCAAGTGTCAGAAAACACAACCCTCTCTATTTTCCTCCATACCCAAATCTCTAAAAAAGGGGCTGCAACGGATCTGATAAAAACTGATCCAGATTTGAACACTGTCCTGACGTCAGGACGGTGGCGCTACGGCTATTGGGCCAACTCCACCAATCAGGAGGAGACAACCACGGCATTGCCGTTCGAAAGCGCTGGAGACGTTGTAGTACATATGCCAGGCCTCTAGATGGTGCTGTTGCTCACAGAATCAACCCTTGCAAAAACAGAGTTAACATTTTTCAAATTGAGCGAAATGAGGCATGGCTAAAATGCATGATCTGTTTGGTATTTAAAAAAAAAAAAAGTATAAATATGCCTTATATAGGTATGGTCCTACACTATATTATTCAAATATAGCATGATAGGTCCACTTTAATTTCCATAAACTGAAAGAATGTGAACTGTCATATAGCCCATTTAGCTATTTGTTCAACATCAAGCTTATTTCTAACTGAAGCTTTTAGACAAATTGTTAGCATTTTGAAAGTCATTAAACAATGCAACCGGAACAACCTTAAGTGCTCTACATTATACCTAAGAGAGTGCCATTACATTACACATTTCTCCTCCCACTGATAATTGAATTGCTCACATGTGGTGAAGAAATTATGCTTTTGTCAGCTAGAAGTTAAAGGAGACTGGTATAACCTTAACCAGTCTGTTGATCACAGCTTGTCTGTGTGTAGTGGATTGATCTTGTTGTGGAGACAGGCAGTGGTGTAGTGGGGATTTTTTTACTGGGTGGACGGGGCGGGGGGGGGGGAAGAGACACTATGGACGAGCTCGTGAACTGTCAACGGGGGGGGGGGGGGTGTATTATGTTTTCGTCATTATTACAACAAATACACACTTGAAACTGATAACACTGGCAATGATTTTATATTTATTAGATTATAAAAAAAAAAATCATGCTTCAAAAAAGTGGGGGCTCCAAATAAGTGGGGGGACGGCGATCCCTCGCGTCCAACGACCACTACACCACTGGAGACAGGTATTCTTCTTCGTTTTTAGTTTAAATGTTTTCCACTTCTTTTTGGGGTACTGCATCCCACATAGAAAAATTACACCACCACAATGCATTTAAGTCAGATCTGGAGTGTATCTAGCACAGTGAGCCCACTTTGAGTTTTATAGAAGAAATGTAACTATTCCTCTGTTCATGAATTTCTACCTCACCGAAAGAGAGAGACTGCCCACTAGGGTCAAAGTCAACTGGGAATAATTGCTAAATTTGTTACGAGAAATGGGTTTCTAGGACTCTGCTTTTATTCCTTCTTAACAGTAGCACACTATTGAGTTGTTCCGGTATTCACTTAGGGAGTTAGTACCAGATTCACCTAAATACCAAGCTGCCTGGATTATATAAAAATAATTATGTCCATTATTCAGTTGAACTTTCTAGACGGTTGCAATTATTTACAATTACACACTTAAGCAAGTGCCTCGTTTCACCATATTGTACCGCTACATCAAATTAAATAATGTTCTTCTAGATATTTAAGATTACAGGGGATGTGGATATTTATGGTTTGATATAAACAGAACTAAGTGGCAACTGCACATACAGTAGAGCTTACTTAGCAAAGTAGCTACAAATAAATCCACTCTTTAACTAAACACAAGAACTTTATCACCTGCTCTCCACATTACTATCCTTAACACACACTACACTAAGTTGTTTTACTCTTGATGGTTCCTATGGTGATGTGGTTTCCTGAGCTGGTTGCTAAGGAACAGCCTCTGCGGCAGAGCGGTGCAGCAGTGATGTCAGGACTGTAGGTAGAGTGTGAGAAGGGCCATACATGCAGTGCTCGGTCTCTCAGCCTCCTCATGCACATGGCGGCATGATGGAGCACATGGCTGAGGCATAATCTACCCCGTTCTGTAATGGTGTGTCGAGGGAACAGCTGGGGATCTTCATATCAACCAACAACTCTGTGTTCATAAATCCTGTAAGCTATTTAAGGAATTCAGATTTTTTAGAAAAGCATTCATGGACACTAAGTTGCAATAGATCCAAGTTAGATGTACAAAGAACATGCCATTTTAACTTTATTTCTATTCTGCATTTGTATCTCACCCTCTATTTGTCAGGTATTATTACCTATTCAGTTTAGTAGTTTCAATGTCCTCTATTTTTTTCCAAATAAGCTGTTTTATATGCTTGTGAGTGCACCTCTGTGCTCTACTTTCCCTGTTATTTATTTTTGCTATTTGCCATGTTGTGACTCCAGATGGCCAAACTAGCACCCATTGGCATTCAAAGGCCTGTCTTCATGGGTGCTTAATCTTTGGTAAATGACCCGCTTGTGCTGTTGGTCCTGAGACAGTCATTCTGGGGAGGACAATTATTCTGCTACATACTTCTTGTATCATTTAATTTGCTGCAGGTTTAACGAAATAGTATTAATTTGTATTACGATGACAAATTCTGATGATATTCTCATGTAGTCCCAGTCCTGTTTCTATGAGTGGATCTGTTTAGCAGGTGGCTCAGTTTGATGACTCTGATCCTTGGCCAAATGGATACAGCCAAGGTCTTGCTAATGGCAGAATTGAATAAACCTCAGTTGTTTGATATGTTAAAAAACATTATCCCAGAGTAGTACAAATGTATAAGGTATGGAGAAACAAAAACATAATAGAGGACAGTTCTGGATATGAAAACATGCCATGGTCCTGCTGTATGTCTGAGCAGATTTAAACCATGAAATTCCAATCCCTGGTATAAATAATGTGGTTCTGCACAGTATCGTGTTGTGCACATTGCTGACTTTCAGTTAACCTTTACTGCCCTTTCCTGGTTTGGACTGTATGTGCCTACAACAATCCCTAAAGACATCAATTAACTAACTTCTTGTGCAAATGTGAATTGTGTATAACACTTGTTTTTTAATGTAAAGACAATGCTATTTTTGGTAATTATTTAAGTGTTACTTTGTTGCTGTTGACAGAAAACATTCTCAATCCCTATTGTTAGAACTCTGTGTAACTAAAGGGCAGAAAGAGGGATGGAGGAGATACAAAGGCTGCCTGGCTTTCCTCACAGCTACTGCTGTGACTTGGCTGTTACACACCGGAAAATGAACATGCCCAGCAGGGTTCTGTTACATTTTGTGTAAAGAAGAACATTTTATCCTCCTCTTGTTTTTAGAGGCTACTTTTATGCTTGAGCTAAAGTGGAAGTTGATGTTGCTTTTTAATTGTAACACTCGGAAACATTACAGCAATTAAAATGAGTACTGAGATATGTTCTTATGATATCTAGGATCTGCATTATTAATGCAAAAAATGTGTGCAATAGTATTACTGCTCATTATGTGTTTTTATTCTGAGCTTGCATGCAGGTTGTGTCCTTATGGATGCCTTAATAATGCTGACTTGCACTTCTTAAGGCAGCTATTACTCTTATCTGCCTTTTGTAGCATCTGCAGTTAAGCCCCCCATTCTGGAGCAGACCTAATTGAAGTCATGTTTGATTCATGTCAGTGTACTGTATATGCAGTTTTATATATTTTTCTCTTTCTACTGAACATTTTTATTTCCTAAAAAACATATTGCATGCTCTCACACTGTACATAAGGGCAGCTCATGCACATGAACTAAAATCATTTGCAAATTGCATATGAAGGAGAGACATGTTTCCCCCTCACATGTTGTGGGACACTGCTGTGTTTAGTCTTGCACTTCAAATGGGAGATTCAGCACCCTGGAGAGCTCCACCTGTCTGCTGGCAGAGGGATGTTATATTACCAATTTGCTGCTTCTTCTATTGTCCTTACCACAGATGTATTCACTTCTAAAGCATGCATACCTCCCCATGTGTTTTTTCTTTGGGAGCAGCGCACAGATAAAACCCTGCAAATCAATATTTGCACAGGATGCTCCCAGACTGCAATGAGGCTGCATGTGTGTGTGTTGGGGGGATGGTAGGCCTGATGGAGCTGCTGTGTCACCCAGCAGACATATGAAATCAATATAAAGCAACAGTCATGATTGCCCTAGTTATGCCATTCCATAACACGTTTAATGCAAACAATATGTAATTATAATGTGTATCAATGGAAGGAGTCCCTGTCTGTCTTCTTATTAGACTGTCTAAGGAGAGTAATTCGAAGTCATAGCAGGAGTCAATCCCCAAAGACCTAAAGCCAGATTCCAGCCCATATGATCACTGTGAAAGTTGCCTAGCCGAAAGCATGTCTATAGTCTGCAGTTTGTGCTGTCCTGTGCCCCACATAGGAACTGACAGGGAATTTTAAAGCAGCCATGTCCCTCTCATTGTCTCAGCTGTGATTCTGTCTGGTCTCCTTGGCAACAGCTGTGCAGCTCTCCTCCCCTTTGGGATCTCACACTGGGGGGCGGGGTGGTGGGCTGTCAGAGTGGGCCCCTTTCTAAGCAATTTTTAGCAGTGGTTATGGTTTGATGGTGTCAACGTTTGATTGTTTTATCAGTAACCAGCAGAAAATAGTCCTTCCTTTTGCGTAGTGGATAATCCAGCGTGTCCATATTTCTGATAAAAATATCAAAGCTGCATATGCTAATACCATTATTACTACTAATACTACTGATACTGATAGAAATAATAAAGTCCACAACTGTAGTAATTTTCCTTTGGCTTAACAGTTTGGTTAAACACATCAGTCATGACATGAAATGATTAGCATGGAAATGTAATGTATTCTCTTTATTGTTAACCACTTTAAAGGCAACATTTCTTCTAAAATCTGAGATCTTACAATGAATAACCAGAATATTTCCACTACCATAACTAAGGAGGTTGAAAACGGTTAGAGGGTAGTCGAGTTGACGAACTGTGGTGGCTCTCTTGTCTGTGGTTCTCTGCTCTGTCTAAGCACTTAAGTCATCTTATCAGACTCCTGCTGACCTCCATGTTTTTTTAATGATGATAATGTATTCACTTATTAGGTGTTAGCAATTGCAAATGTGTTGATTCAGATGAACTCAATAGCAACATTTAACACAAACTAGATTATTATAATATAAGATAAATATCCACTTAATAAATAACATCTATATGCGATCACATTTTTGATGATACATGTTCCACCCCCTCGGAAAGAAAACATTTTCTGATATAATGCTGTAGCATCGCACATCAATAACGCTTTGGAGGAGAGATCAGGACTCCATCAGCATCTTCATTTATTTATGACAGTGCATTTACTGTGATGGGCTTCTGTCTTAATGAGAGCAGCAAATGTAGACTTGGTCATCTACAATTCTCTTTGTAGGGAAATGAAAACGATTGCATATCTTATATCTCTCTATGATTGAGATCAGAGGATAGGCTATGCCAGGGGTCGGCAACCCCTGGCACGCGGCACCGTAACCAGTGGCACACTAGGAATAAGTAGAATAAGTGTGCAAAATATTTACATTTTATTTTCGGATCCTGAACGAGACCGCCGCCAGAGTCTCCCTGTTACCTGCAGAAGGAAGCCATGCACGCAACGCAGCCCCGCTCTCTTTAACTCCAGGCGACTTTCTGCCGCTTTCCACCGTGGTGCAGTGCTGATCGTTTCACCACGGAGGAAAGCACTTCACAAATTGCAGTACCCATAAGGAGCTGTACAAATGCTGCAGTTTGTGCGTGGCTGTGTCTTGAGTTGAAAGCCCAGTGGCGATCTGCTCATCTCTCATCGAAATAATATGCTACACAGGGGCGGACTGGCCATGTGTGTGTTCTGGAGAATCACAGAACGTCCTTATTATTATGCCGTTTAAACCAATTATTAAAATTTGTTTGTTAAATTCGTCATCATGTAAGTTGCGCTGACAGGTCCACACACTGCTTCCCCGCAGCGAGGCTCCCCCCGCCCTCCTGTTGACAGTTCACATCCGGGGAGCTTCTCACACACACTCTCTCAGCGGCGAAACTGTGACGCGCTGGGGAGGGGGTGCTAGTGGAGCCTTGCAGAGGCGAAACTGATGCGCTGGGGAGGGGGTGCTAGTGGAGCCTCGCAGAGGCGAAACTGTGGCGCGCTTACACTGTAGGTGCACCGCATTTGGGGGTGCGGGGGGGGTGTGGGTGCTAGTGGAGCCTCACAGATGGGGGTGCTGCAGCCCCCTCAGCACCCCCCCTTCCCGCGTCCATTCGCGATGTCTCGCTGTCTCGCAGACCCCACGCAGCAAGCAGGAAATGACACCAGTAACACAGCTCACACTGTCCGCTCCTCACAGCAGCGAGCCGCGCAATATCCCGCCAACACGGCACCCAGACCCCACGCAGCATTCTCATCTGTTTGTCATTACTGGTGTCATTTCCTGGTTGCTAACGCCATTGTAACACATAATCACTGATGTTCCGCTGTAATGGTAGTGGACTCATCAGAACAGAGTGGGCGAGCTGAGTAATCAGAGCACTGTGGGCTCATAGGGAGGGGGGGGGCAGGAGCTCCAACAAGCCATGTAGGACAGAGTGAATCCACATACTATACAGAGATGCTGTATGAGAAACCAATGTGAGTTTGGAAAATTGCACAATATAAATCTATTCTAGTAGACCTCAACAACAGTGGCGAGCCGTCAGGGCCCTCTAGGCCCTCTGTGAGGGCCTAAGATATTCCAAAAAATAATATTTAAAAACATTAAAAAAAAATATTTATTTTTTTAATATTATTTTTGTTATATTTTTCATTAGTTTTACCGAAAAAAAACTTGATTTAATAAAATAACATTTCCAAAGAAATAAATCCTTCGAATCTGCCTGTTCAGTCTCTGTTTGAATGTCAGTTACTATAGCGGGCCTCTCTGCGATTCACAGAGGGCCCGCTATAGTAACTGAACGAGAGAGTAATGTCAAATGACAGTACAATTGACCAATCATATCTTCCCTCTAAATGGGTGGGTTTTATTATCGCGGACTTTATGACGAGTTCCGCCTGCTGTGAAACTTTTCTTGTTTCCATAGCAACAACAACTTCCTGTCAACAGCGTGAACTCGCCTTCAAAATAAAAGCATGCCAAATTACACTTAAGACATACAACTGCAATGAAAGTAACAAACACAATGCAATATCATTTTCAATGTCAAAGAACACAAATTGGGTTCACAGGTGTTGTTTTGTGTGGTAGAGGGTCGCTGTCATTGATGCGTTTTGCACCCTGGGCCGTTGTTTTGATATTCCGCTGAAGTATACGCTGTGACATAATAACGTCTTTTTTTCGAGGGAAGGGGTGGGGGTCAGAGGGCCTAGGTATAAAGCTCACGGCTCGCCACTGCTCAACAATGGAATTATGATCAGTGGAAATGGCCATGACATGGGACCTTTAAGAAGTTTTTGGTTATTTTGTGGATTATGTTATTTAGGCCACCTTAACAGATTCGGGTCTCTAGGGATCTAATAAAGAACATGCTTGATTTGAGGGACAATCCGCTTACTTTGATTGATTTTATGATGAATAGTCCGGAATTCCTGTGTTTATATGCTGGACACTGTTGGATCGCTCTTGGGGGGGTTTCTGTGTCGGATGGTCATTGTCTTCACACCGTAAGAGCAGTTCATTCCAATCACTTACTCTACTGTATGTGTCGGGTAAATCAGGAAAACAGTTCTGTCTCTGGAATGAATACAGTGCAGGATCACTGGAAAGTACACATTACATGTCAAACTTGAGTTTTTTCTGTTACTAAGAGAATGAATCTCCATCTTCACCAGGTTTCCTGCCTTCAGGACTTTTTTGGGGACGATGATATCTTTTTTGCCTGTGGCCCTGAGAAGTTCCGCTATCAGGATGACTTCAACTTGAAAGAGGGTGGTAAGTGTCCTTTAATTTATGAGGGTTTGATCACGGCTATCAGATTTTCACTACATGATTACTAGGCTAAATAATTAACTATAGTCACATACTACAATATCTAAAACTAAAGAAAACATGTGCCAAACAATTCATCTTTATTGTGCATTTTGTCTGTGTGTGACATTTGGGGGGGTGACAAAGCTTTACTGTAACTGAAAAGAACGTCAATAATTTAGGAGGCGCTGGATTATTTACACATACTGTGAAGGTTCTTTTTTTTCAAGCCATCCTCCTTTGAAACCAAATTTAAAATCTGAAAGTTTATAGTTGTGGTTCAGTGTCTATGTGATTGATGAATGTGCAGGTCAGAATAGAGAGGATGTCATCACTCATGCTTTGTTTGTGAAAGCTGTCCTTATTAATAATGTTGTATAGTACCTACACACCTGTTTGTCCGCACTATTTGCCACTCTACTTTGACTACTCCTCTTTCTAGTACTTCAAACTTCCCTGTTTAGTAACTCAAGCTGACTTGAAATGAGAAGAAAGCCTAGTATTAGATTCTAGGGGAACATGTCGCTCCAGCAGTTTTTATATTTTTCCTTTTTATAGAGTGCCTGGTCGCAAAGTCTGCATCATACGGCCGGCTTCCCTCCGGACATGCTCTCTCCTCCCCGAGAATCGGTGGGATGTCCCGCAGAAGCAAGTCTCCATCATCCCCTGGTTCAGGTGAGTGTGTCTGTGTGTCTGTCTATCATGTCTTCAGAGTGTTCTTAAAGTATATTTCGGTTTACGCTGCTGTATTTCATTACTATACTAATCGTTTGTTTCCAATTATAATCAGCAAATGGCACGGCAGGCAGTCAGCTGTCCACCCCTCGATCTGGGAAGTCTCCTAGCCCGTCTCCAACAAGTCCAGCTAGCCTTCGAAGACGACGGGTAACGCATACATTTTCATTTAAATAAGTTAATGTCCTAAAGATTGATTTCATATTATGTCACATGTTTTATCAGATAATCTTTGGTAAAGGAGTACAACAATTGTCTTCATCAATGAATAATATTTCAGTACACTGAATTAAACAGAAACTAATATATAAATAATAATAATACATTTGATTTATATAGCACACTTTAAAGACAACGTCATCTCAAGGTGCTTCACAAAGCTATAAGGAAAACAAAATACAAATATATCTAAAGGAGCATATTGGATAAAATATGGCAATATTAAAAATAAAAGGTTAAGGGCATAAAAGGTTTAAAAATAAATAAATAAATAAAGGACAGTCAGTAAAATGCGGTGTGGGTCTTGAGGCATTTCCTAAAAACTGAGTGATGCCGAGGTCCGTATATTCTCTGGAAGCTGATTCCACAGACGTGGACCTAGGGAGGACCCACGTCTAAATGGGTTTATATTCCTCAAAATGTGTTAGCCTGAAATAGCTTTACATTATCCTCCTTGCTGTTTGTATATGTAACACTGCTAGTGTTATATGTTTTGTAAAGATATAGTTACAGGTGTCTCAGGTTTGAGAACACAGGTACAGATGTAAATATAATCTCATACACAACATGTCCTTTACAGTAGGTCCCTCTAACACGCATTGTGTTTGTTCATGTATAATGGCGCTTTAGAGAAACACGTTTTGAGACTGCATAGCACAGTCAACTGAGGAGAGAAATCCATCAGGGATACCATCATTAATGAATCATAAGCCTGTCTGGGTTGGTATTGTGGCTGTGGCAAAGGATATTCATTTCTTTCAATCCGTTTTGGAACCACATGCCAGTCTTTATGCAGGTGGGAACGTTGGTATAATGTTTCACCACACCTACTAGTACACATATGCTTTGTGTAAACTGGCTGTCTCTTTCTTTTCCAGGGATCTCATCACAGTGGCTCTTCACTCTCTTTAGCTTCTACCAAGGTTTGCAGTTCAATGGATGAAGGAGATGGGCCCAGCAGTGAAGGTAGGACTCTGACTGATAATAACATATTGTTAAAAGACTTTGTAAGTATTGACTGGGCTATTTTTCATACCTTCTTTCCTCCTCAGCTGAGCTAGTGGATGAGTGCCCCTTTGTCCCTGCGTCCATCTCAGAGAGGTACAAAGTGGGGAGGACTTTAGGGGACGGAAACTTTGCTGTGGTCCGAGAGTGTGTGGAGAGATCCACCGGAAGGGAGTATGCTCTGAAGATCATCAGCAAAGACAAATGCAGAGGAAAGGTTAGCGTGCCTTTTTCATTATCACACCTCCAAGTGTGACCTAAATCAAGAGGGTCTTTTCTGTGAACAATGTTAATGGAGTTCTGTTTTGGATGCTTATTCAATTTTTGTATTGTCTTCATGAGTCAGCAGATGGTGCTGTCTCCTCCTGGACAACAACAAATATTTTTCGAACTATTCAGTTTTAAAAACCCCTCTAGATGAACCCTTATTAAATAGACATTCCACATTTTGAATATGTTTCTAAAATAGTTTTGTCCCTCATATTTGATCTGAAATTACAGAAAGGATGCCCCACAATCTAACATTCCACAGATGTGCATGTTTATAAAAATGTATTTACTGTACAGTGTTTATAAATGTTCTTTGTTACCCAGGAACACATGATCCAGAGCGAAGTGTCAATCCTTCGGCGTGTGAAACATCCCAACATAGTTCTCCTTATTGAGGAAATGGACACCTCTAGTGAACTCTATCTCGTAATGGAGTTGGTTAAGGTACTACACATTTGGTAGTTCTTCTTACAAACATTTCCAGCAAAGAAACAACATTGTAGGGCCAATTGTGATTTTTTGTTATCTATATGTTTGTGTTATCAACATTTCATTTTTGTTTTTATGATCTCTTTGGTAACATTACTTTTTGTATGTTCATGTTAGTCTATAGAAATGGATTTAACTTGCTTCCTGTTAATGGCTGAAGCTGGATCTGCTCTTAACATAGTTGGAAACAAACAATTGGCACTGTTTCACTTAAATACTCTTTCACAGGGCGGGGATCTTTTTGATGCTATCACCTCCTCAAACAAATACACAGAGCGAGACGCCAGCAGTTTGCTGTTCAATCTGGCAAGCGGCATCAAGTACCTCCACAGCCTCAAAATTGTCCACAGAGACATAAAACCAGAAAACCTGTTGGTGAGTATGACTCTTTAGATGTTGCACTGACATTGAAAAGCTTCCCATTTTCAGACCTAATAGATCCATCTTCCATATGAATTGTTCCTCATTCCTTTTTCAAGCAACTTTTTTGTGATTCATTTTAGTTTGTTTATACAAGCTTGCACTTAAAGCTTACAATTACATGAACACATATAAAATATATAGGACAAATTAATAACATTATGAAATGTGTACGAAAACTCCAGAAGCTAAACAAACAGTGAAACTCAAACAAGAGGTGCATCTCACTTGAGCTCCTAATATCTAATATTTATCACAGCAATTCATTAGTTTGTGACCTTTTTTTCTTGTGGCTTCTTATTGTGTGTTTTCAACAGGTATTTGAACACCAGGATGGAAGTAAGTCTCTGAAGCTCGGTGATTTTGGCTTGGCTACCATCGTCAACGGGCCCCTCTTTACCGTGTGTGGCACCCCGACCTATGTAGCACCTGAGATAGTCGCTGAGACCGGGTGAGTCAGAGTCATTTTCTGAAACATAATAGGCAAGGCATGTCCTTTTCATGTAAAATTACCAGTACAGTTGTGGACTATTGCTACTTGCAGAAGTACTTAGTCTCTGATACCTGGTTTATGTTTCTTCAATTACAGGTATGGCCTCAAGGTGGACATCTGGGCAGCTGGTGTCATCACTTACATACTTCTGTGTGGCTTTCCACCTTTCCGTGGGTATGTGTTCCTTTCAGGACGTTTATTTTGATGTTAACCTGAATTAATGACATGAATAAAATATATCAATCACATTCTAGGCTATTATGTGGAACTTAGTTTGAGCTTTATAGGATACATGTTGTTTTATATACATCAGCAGTGGTGAAGATCAGGAGGCTCTGCTTGAACAGCTTTTGAAGGACCAGCTGGATTTCCCTGCACCATACTGGGACAATGTGTCTGAAAATGCCAAGGTGTGTGTGTGGAAGTGTTCTCCTCATCCGCCATCGTTATGCTCCATGTGAAACACCAGAATCTTTGAGTACAGTTGTCTCATAGCATTGAGTATCCAGTATAATAATGTATTCTGTCTTTATTTAGGCTCTGATCACTTGGATGCTGCAGGTAGACGTGGATCAGAGAAGCACTGCTGCACAGGTGCTCGATCACCGCTGGGTTAATGTAAGTTCAGCTTTTAAAAAATGTAACCAGAATCACCTGTGTAGAACGGGCATTGATCAGAAAGAGGCCAGTATGGGGCAGCAGGTGGACTTTCTGAAACTTTGTTCTTTGAATTGTCCAGGATGATGGTGTGTCAGAGAATGATCACCAGCTGCCTGTGGCTGGCAAGATCAAGAAACACTTCAACACAGGGCCCAAGCTCAGCAGCACCGCAGCAGGAGTGTCCGTCATTACAGTAAGCACTGATCTGCAACCCTACACTTGGACCCGGCATGCGGCTCTGCAGGAGTAGACATTTTCTTTTTTGTGTTGTATCGAAGATTCTTTGGATCTTATTCAAAATGTAAAAATCACATTTGCAAATGCTTTTCATATTTATCTGTATGCTGTCATTACAATTCAGTTGTTATTTAGTTGTACCTGACAGTGTCTGTCTTTGCAAAACAGCAATTCATCCATTACTCATCTTTGTATTTTTATTTAGTGACTTCTTGGCTATATTCTGTGTATCCATCAGTCCACCCATCCGCCTCATGCTCCCAGGCCTTGCTGTGTGTGCTCTGGCCTTTCATCCCCCTCCTTTTAGATTGACTGTCAGCTCCTTTTTTGGTAGATAAGATTTCTTAAATAGTTTTAAAGCTCAGCTGGATTTTTACAATTGGCAGAAATGAAGTCAATTTGCTTACCTTGGTAATACTTGCCGATCATAATGGGCATCAGTTGCACTCCTCCCTGTCAGTTGGCATTGACACTCAGTTTTCTTTCTTTTCCAACACAGCTGTTAACTGACTAAAGTTTAGTGCACCTTAATGCTACCCAGGTCAGAGATGCTTTGAGTTCAAGGTGTTCCTCTGAGTTGCGCTCGTCTCTCTCTGCTCAGCTGAACGAGGACTTGACCATCCAGAGGTCAGGGTCTTTGGACCACTACCAGCATCCAGGAGTATATTGGATAAGGTATGACAAAGCATAGTGCAAATATGCAATGCTTTCATGATAAGAGTGCTGGCAGTCTTCAATTCCCAGTATTTCGTTTGACCCATTGCCCCTTAATGTAGATATTTCCCCGCCTCACCTTGCCTCTTGTTCACCTCCTAAAATCCATCACTCATCACATTCCTTCATCTCACCAGTGCTGCGGCTGTTTCCTCTTGCCTGGTCATGCAGTTTACCTTATTTAGTTGTTCATTCTTACTGCTGTAACAGACTAGATGAAGTTAAACTTTCTGTCACAAGAAGTTTAACTGTAACAAGTGAAGTAAATGCAGCCTTTTAGATACAACTGCATGCAAACATTGGCTCATTTAACATTTGCCAAGTGTCTCAGTGGTGGTTGATTGGATGCCACTCCTCATCACCGTGGTCTTGTAGAGATCTTAACAGCTGCTGTGTCACCCTCTCTCAGACCACGCCACTTGATAAGGAGAAGCAAGTTTTCCGACGAAGACGCAACCAAGATGTGAAGCTTTCTCCCCACCTCCCACGCAGTATGGGGGCCGGTGCCTCACGCAGTGCCAACCATGGCCTCTCTGCCGCCGAGCTGACCCCCGAGTCTGAGGACTATTCCCCGGGTTCAGCTGGCACGGTCCGTTCCCCCATCTCTCCGTTCTAACAGCCTCCCGAGGCCAAAGCACTGTCCACCTTCACATGGAGAAATGTGAGGCGGTGTAGTGCAAAACTGAAAGACCCACATGGGGTTTACTCTTATAAGTTGGACATTTACACACTGCATTACTGACCTGTACCCATTTAATGTTTCTTCATAAAATAAATGGATTGATCTGAGCAAGGGACAAATGTGTCTCTGGATCAAAGAATATGCCTTAAAAGCATGCAACGATATTATATACACCCTCCTCCCTGCCCCCTTTCAAAAAGTTATCCAAACTGCTAAAACCTTATTTCTGCCCAGCATACAGTGGTTCATTGCAGTACTCTAGGGCCCTCTAGTGGTTAATAATCTGTACTGCAGGAAAGACAACCTGATACATAAAGCACTTGGCTTTAATGGGAGTTGTAAACGCAAAACATTTCAAACTTAGCTTTTAAAAAATGAATTACATTATTTTGTGACAGTACATTTTACTTATCATGGTTTGAACACAAATACTTGTTATAAAATAACCCTCTAAATTTGACATTGACTGTAAAAGTCACCTTCCAGGTGTACTGTGTAACATCTTGATTACACTCTACTGAAGTACCTGAATACACAAAGTTTAAGAGGACTTAAGGAATTAAAAAAACCTGCTGCTATAGCATTATCATTAAGCATTATCTGTATTGAACATTTGTTTTGTGTAGGACATGTTCTCCTGCCACCCAGTAGCATGACTCTTTAAGAGAATTGAGGGCACTAATGTTTGACTGTTGATGGTCCAGCTCACCTGGGCGCTTCAGGATGATTATTGAAACATATATGTTACACGTCTGTGAGAGTGGTTGTAATTCAGTGGTGGTGCAGATGAATGTCAGTGATGTGTAGTTGGTAGTAAGTGCATGTTTAAAGCCTTGCCTTGGCACATATGGATTTAAGTGCAATTAGGTGCGTTGCTCAATGAGTGCAGTAACAAATGCGTCCCACAAAATGCTGGAATAAGTGAGAATGGATCTGTTGCTGGTATTATTAGCAACCAACTGACACACTTCTCTATAAGATGGGGGCAATTGGCACCTTTTTTTGGGGTAAAATGTTGGCAAACAAGTGCTTCCAGTAAAATCCATTATTTGAATATGTGATGGTCCTTTCGATAACATGATCGAATAACATGACTGAGAAGACTGCCTACTAGATTGTATGTACTGTAATGTTCTCTGACAACTCCATACATTGGTTCACCTGAAGACCAAATATTCATGGATGTGAATGTCTTGTTCCCTTTATCAGAGACTGTAACCTGCATGTGTGCTAATATGCATCCTTAATCAGCTGTTCTGGTCTTCTACTGTTTGATATACGCCTGTCAGAGAGGAAACCATTCTTGTTGTCATTGTACGTGACGTCTTGGTGAATGCAGTTCCATTATATAGTCATACCACAGCTAAGTTCAAACTTGTATATACATATTTTAACTGGAATGTAATGTCACACCACGGACTTTGTTGTAAAAGGGCTTTTACGTTTTTTGACTCAAAGGGGGTGAACCAAAAAGCACAAGGAAAGCAAGTTGGAACAGTGACATTTTGGGATTGTATATGCTTTCAAGGCTTTTAAAAATCTGAAAAACATTAATATATATACTGTTATTATACACCATGACAATGATAAGACAACTGGGAATGTCAGTATTAGTTATAAGCAGACGGGGAATGCACGTTCTGTATTATATTTATCCATATTTCATTAATGTACGGATGTCATAAAAAATCTAAATGAATACAAAAGAGTACATTTTTTTTTGTTGTTAAGAAAAATACTTTTATGGTTAAAAAAGAAAATCATAGATCTGAAGACACCTAAAGAGAAAAAAGACAATTTGTGAGTCAGCTGTTACGTTTTTGCAAGACAAGCAGTGAACCCACCAAACCTGCAGCAACACATTCAGCCAGCAGGGGGCAGCATCATCAAGCTTATCATATTGGCGTTAGATTCCACCATTGCATTATTTATAGCTTATAATATAGCAATAGTTATACATTCTTAATCACAGTATTTTATTAACACATGCATTCATGTTTTGGGGGCAGGCTACACGATTGCACGAGTAAAAGCTCAACAAGAAAAACGATTGACACCGGTTTATTTATTCCGTTTAAAAAAAAATAATGAAAGCAGCTGAATTTTACAATTATCCATTTTTTTTTTAGGATTTCATAAGCATCAAATATATCCTAGCCTTTTCCAAATAAAATATATTAATCACAACTTAACTTGAATTGCTACATTACTAAATATTTGTCAAACTCATTTTAAATTCACAATGTTTTAAGCGAAAATTATTTAGGGAAAAGGTAGTTTGGTGTCTAGTAGACCCACTAGAAACATCAGAATGCAAACTCAAAATCTATTTGCATATTTTGTTCATTTAAATGTGTCAGCTCACAGCGACAGACTTCTCATTTATCACCAAAAATAGACTATAGTCATTTTTGGAACACCATCATTTTCATTATTAGATCTTTTTGTCACAGCTGAAACACGACCTGTTCAGCTATCAAGTCAGAATATTGCTTACCAATGCATCGAGTTACAGCACGGACTGATGTTCATGAATACACAGATTTAAAATGGACAAGCAAACTTTCTTTTCAAAAATAGGAATACTGAAAACTGTGATATGCAGAAGTAACAGGACTAATGTTTGCTTGCAGGGCCAACATTATAGTCTTTAAAATCTCACTTCCTTTTAATTGTCTTACAGCTTTATCAACCACCGTAAACAGTCATGAGATACAAATCTGTCTTTTAATTTTGGGAGAAGATGAAAGAACAAATCAAAACATTGATTACTGCTTTTTCAAATGTCCCGCTTGAAAATACTTTAGGAACCCACAGTAAATCATATTAATTACTTGTCATTTATAATAAAATTGTCCTTTATTTAAAGTGAATATGGAAATATCACAATTATCCTTTTCACTGACATTATGAAAAACAAGTATTTCACAAAGGACTACGCTCACACTGATTTTTTTCCATAAAGACAATCAAACAACAAATGAACCACAAACATTTTGTCTTTTCACGTACACACATTTGGCCACTATTAATAACAATGAGCAACAAGGGCCATATACATGTTTTACACCCAACTAATATCTGAAGTCAATGGAGACATGTAGAACATTATACATGGCGGCAACATGGTGGCTAGTCTAACAGCATTCAGATCTTTATCAGTCTTTACAGGGAAGAATCACATTACACTGTCCTTATTTACATTACAGGTTCACTGGTTTCTTCTAGAAAAGTGTTCCACGTGAGATATGTGTCTGCCATACAAATGTTGTATAAATGTTCGTAACAGAGGATTCATTTAGTTTTGCATTTTCACAGTTCGGAACAGCAACTTAAACGCTTACAGTGTGTTTGTGTTATTAAGTTCATCTCAGTCGCTCATGCTCAGTTGGGGAAGTCGACGGCTGGTGCTCATGTAACACGTGAAAACCAACAGCAAAATCATCCAGATTCTCCAGGCCAGATGAACACATGTGAGCACACGTTGTTCTTTATAAGTGTCACCATGGTGATGTCCTGCAGCCCACTGGAGGTCCTCCATGCTCTGTGGATCTCCTGCAGCTCGGCCTCTGGTTGGTTAGATCTCTCTGAACGCTCCTGCTGCGTGGCTGTGTCTCTCCTCAGTACCTGTTCTGATGCTCGTAGTGCCACCGGTTGAAATCAATGTTAAATGCCACGATACTGCCAGACGCCATGCCTGTGATCAATGTCCTGAAGAGCCAACAAAAAAACACAAAAACATATGAAATCCTAATGTCGGGAAATGCATTATAAACTGAAGAATTCGTAAAATTCAGTAGATATAGAGTAACACAATTAAAACAACCTAATTTTTGCAAATCTAACTACTGTATCATCTGTTATTTCCAATGTGTTTACATGTGTAACAAGCCACCACGTTTTACAAAATATGTTCATTGATAAAAATGTATTCCATGCATATTAACAGTTGGTTATAAAGCAATCACAGGTCATCAGGGGCTGTTACGGTACAATCTGGGGTCCCTCTGACAACTGAAGGAGACCCTTGAGTGTTAGTGTCTTTCTGCAACCCCGGTGCTCTTGTGTCCACGGCTGGCTGGCTGGTATGTAGGAAAAGCAGCTGATTTCACAGGGTCGTCTTATACTGCTACACCCCAAGGGCTTAAATGCTCAAGCACAATGAACAGAGCTGAGGCAGAATGCCCCGCTGTAAGTGAAGCTGCAACATGGCTCCCTTGTGTTACCCAACGTCAACTCACTGAAGAAAGACACTAACTGAATCACGGGGTTCTTAAAATACTCAATTAAGTGATGTGTTAAGCGGTATTCAAAGACATTTACAAATCGAATGTAGTACTTATATGCAGTGTTTAAGTCCTTGATGTGTTTTACCTCTTAGATGTTAGATTAACACTAAAACTAAATCTGTTAACAAATGTGATCCCGTCTCTATCATCTGCTCAGCTTCACAGGTTGTGCAGTTAATCATGATGGTGCAGAGTCATTCTGCACAAGAACCAGGCCTCTGTTACGGCCCACTGTAAGTGCTTGGGGGGGGGGGGGGGGTGGCGGCCTGCGGCGGTGAAGAGCAGCTTTAATGTTCGGACTCTCTAACCTCTCTTCGCTGCCAGGGTCACATGATGACGTCAGGCTCATTGCCCGAGAGCAAACACTGTCGCCCGACAACACGGCACCCATTACATGACTCCAGATAAATCTCAAATGTTTGGAAAAAACATGCTGCTGACTTAGGTGTCAAAATAAGTGCATTTGTAACTTTTGTCTCAATAGCAACTGTTAATTCCATTTAATCGTAAAGGAAGGTGGGTATCCTACTAACTAACATTTCTCTAGCACTTCTTATTTATCAACAACATCTATTATTATCTCTGTCACCTTATTTAAACAGAAATTCATTTTGATTTGAAAATAATGAGTAGGCCACCAGACCTGAGTTCTTGTACTGTACTGATATTTGATATGACATTGTATGTTGTACTATTGACTTTTAAACATACTATGACATTTAGTTGACATAGAAAAATAAAATAGCTTTTGGCATACTAGACTTTTTTTCATTTTACGTTGTATACTATTTTATGACTTTTATGAGTATTCTGCCTTATTTCATGACATTTTAATGACTTACTTTAATATGTATCTTATATATCTACTGCTTATTATACTTTTTAAATGAGTCATGGCAAGTTAATAGAATATTAGTATGATGTGTAATGTATAGTAGTAAGAGATTTTTCATAACATTTTTGGTGAATTACTATATTATGATTTTATTTGGACATTTATAGCATACTTCTATGCGTTTACATGACGATTTAATGGTATGTAATTATTATACAATTACTTTACTAGATTTAGTTTGATGTACTCTAATTAGAATTTAAATTATATTTTTCGGGCATATTACTATGAGTTCTTGTAATGACATTTTTATAACATACAATAATAGGCATCTTGACTTTTTGGGCATTTAATAAATTTATAGGACGACACATATAGTATGACAATTGTTCTACTATACTCTGAGTTTTTTATGACATACTAAGACTTTTAGTGGCAAACTATTCAATGGCTTAGGGACATATCATACTTTATGAAATATTTCATGACATGTGACTTCTTCATCGTTAGTTTGACTCACTGTATTATATATGTTTATGATATTTTAAAGGCATATTCGACTATGAAGTTTTTATAGTAAAAATAAGAGGGTGAGGTGGGGCAAGAGAGTGAGGAGGTTTGCTGAGTAATGCAGGTGAGAGGGGGGCTAGCAGACAGGGAGGGAGGCTGCTGAAAAAGATCCACAAGCACAAGGAAGAAGAGGATGTGGCTAAAATAAAAAGGAGCATCCTAAACCCAAAACAACCACTGTACAGTTTGTGACAGAACGAAGTGGAAAGAAGGAGCATAGGAGTTCATGCTACACATGAAAACAACAAGGGAAAGGAATAGGATATTAGAAGGACTTTTTCTCATGACAGGCTATACAATGGACTTTTTTATTAGTTTTCCTTGGCATACTATAATAACATGACAAATTTGTATGGCATCATGTTTTCTTTAGACATTCATAATGATGACATTTGGATTGGATTTAAATAGAATAATTGTATGACATTTTGTGGCATACTCTGTTTTTGATTTTTTTTATTGCACATCATATTATTACTTTTATGACATCTTTTAAATAATCCATAAAATGACAGATGCTTGCTAGGGGGGCAAAGTGGCTGAGAGGTGTATTAAATGTAAGCTATTCTTTGAAAGTTTCAAAAATACCTCCTGTGATTAAAACACAATGAATGAAAAACTGTGATGTGTGGAAGACAATTCATCAAGATGGCTTTCTGTATACGTTGTCTCTGTAGCCTCAACAATTTATCTACCATACAAATGTTTGCTCTGACCTTTGATCATGTGACAGGTCCATGGCTCGGACGCCAGCATCACAGCCGGGGTAGACGTAGAGCTGTTTGAAGTCACAGGCCTGCCACACCTCCACCACGCCGTTATCTCCACCTGTCACCAGGTTGTGGCCATCACTGCTCAGGAGAATAGCCTGCAGTAGAAAGGAGGGTATCTACATGTGACTTGCGACTTATTTTATTGTCCCTTCTTCGGAAATGTGTTTTATTACATGAAACAAAGACCCCATTTGAGATTGTGGAAGTCCAGTATGAGAATGATGTGCAG